TCCATGGTTTGGGGTCATCCCTTGCTTATTGGATGCCGGGAGCAGGGACAGGCACTATGGCACAGTCCATCCCACTCTGTTCCCAGCAGGGAAGGAGCTGGGCTCTCATCACCCCCAGCCCAGACCCCCCAGGTGGACAGGGAAGCCGAGCCCAGACAGCCCACAGGGACCTGTTCAGTTGGTGCTTTGCCTCCACACGTACCCCTGCCACCCGCCGTGGGTGTGCGAGCTCACACCTCTCCAGCTCTCCTCCATCCCCAGCGCAGGATGGGGTTCAGCTTTTGGCTGCGGAGCCTCCACAGTGCCAGCAAACAAGCCAGGACCCAGTGGGACAGCACGGCAGTGGTGTTTGGTGATGCCCTGGCACAGCTCAGCTGGACCCCAGGGCAGGATAACCAGATAACCTGCGTGTGCTTTCTCCTAAACGAATATGCGACAGGGAAGCAAAGAAATACAGACCTGGTTTTCTTTTCTTTCTCCTGCTGGGCTTCCCCACACTGCAGGACTCTCCCAGACAGGTTGGCGATGCAGCTCGGAGTGGGTTCTGCTTCCCCACGTATCCCTGACTCCCTTTCTCTTGCACCACGGTGGGTGTGGAGAGCAGAGGAGAGGGAACTGGGCTCTCCTGGAGCATCCATCCCATGGCAGGACAGCTGCCCAGAGCACAGGGGAACGGCCAACTCAGCTCCAGCGCTTGTCCTTGGAATCTCATCTCTCCAGTGACCACCCGAGGACGCGGGGACAACCCAAGAAGTTTTCTGGAGTTGCTGTGCACACTACCTCTGGGGCAGAAGCAATCCTGACCTTCAAAGAAATGGCAGCTTTACTGGGAACACACCAGAGGCATAAAATAGCAAACCTTCCGGGACAGCCTGTTCCCCAGGGCAGCCATCCCAGGCTGAACTGGGGGTTTACTGGTTTTATTGATTTTTTTCCCCCTTTTTTCCCCCCTCTCTTCTGCTTTAGGAACTTTGATTCTCTGTCTCCCCTCCACGGAAACGACCTGGTATTGCAACATGTGATTGGTAACGGATGGTGAGCTTAGACAAATGCCAAAGCCCAATGAGCTGGATTTTCACCTCCCTCTCTTACAAATTTAATTCCTCCTTTCAGCTTTCAGACACGTTTGCAAATATCTCATCCCTCTCTCCCAGCGATTTTCCATCCCTGGGTGAGGAATTCTGGGTTTCCCACCAGCCCTGGGGACCTGGGACTTGCTTGGACTCCACTGCTGGAGAAGCAGAAGGTCCTTGGCTGATTTATACGACAATGTTTCACTGAAACACCTGCCCTCAGGAAAGGCAGGGAACAGACACTGACAGAAAATATCGATCTTTACAAACGTCCATCTGAAGGCCACTGAACACAGGCACCACACACTGCAAGTGACAGGTAGGCAGTTGTGCACCTGGACTCAGAACAGCCCTGGGGACATGATGGAAGCTGTAGAGATCTGAGAGACCAAGCAACCTGCCAAGGTCACCAGGAAGCTCATAAGAGCTGGGAGCAGAAGACAAAAACAAACCCCAAACTGCAGTTTTGTGCCCATCCCGCCATGTCCTGTCCCCAAGGCTCACCCACAAGGCTGTGGCAGTTGCCTTGTCCTGGCATGGAAAGGTTAGTGGGTGGCACCTACTCCCTCGCACATGGGCACGTCCCCCCACTGCTGCAGCTGAGGAGCCCACCTTACCTCCTTGGAATGACGTTTGCTTCCTGTTCCACACACCAGCCAGGCTTGTTCTTGTTGGCTTGTTCTTACTGCCAGCAGTGACACTACAGTGACTGTTCCACACACCAGCCAGGCTTGGGGCTGTTCTTACTGCCAGCAGTGACACTACAGAGACTGTTGCACACACCAGCCAGGCTTGGGGCTGTTCTCACTGCCAGCAGTGACACTACAGTGACTCTTGGAGGCCAGGGCTTCCTTTACCATTGTAAAGCCATGAAACTACTCATTGGAAACACACCATCCCTTTGACTGTTCTGCAGGGAGAGTGAATCTCTTACCAGATCAATTGATTAAGAGTTGGAAAGGAAAAATAACCAGTTCCCAATGTGCAGTGCCACTCTTTAAAACCCCTCTTGCCCAGGGTGTGTCCTTTGTCACCAGCCAGACGTGCTGGTGACACCCATGGGACACCAGCACCCAGCCCACCACCCGGAGGGACATGCTCCAGCTCCCCACTTGAAAGCAAACCGGGAGACAGAGTAGTTTATCTTTCAGATTGTGTTTCAAGCTTACAATTTGGAGGTATCCGACATTTGTGATTGATATCAGTCCTCATCATCCTTCTGCAGGTTTCTGGAAAGAACAGTGATAAAATTCGCAGGTTTACAGACAAGGATCTCGCAAGGAGGAAAAACAAGGCACTAATGAGAATGGAATTTCAACATTTCAGTTATCTCCAGCACTTCTTTCCTGGTATTAAAAATATGTTTTTAAGTTCCAATCAAGCACCTTATCCTGTTCTTGCTCGACACTAAACACACAACAATGCAATTGCTGTCAGCAAGAAAAACAGGATCGTGAATTTAAGTCCATTTGTGACCCCATGGAGGAGTGAAACAGTCAGGGATGAGACAGAGCTGGCCATCAACTCCAGGCTGGTTCCCAAATTGCTGCATCCCCTGCAGAAAGCCCCTGCCCAGGCGTGCCCAGCTTTGTGAGCAGAGCTTCTTACTCACGTGCATCTGAGCTCTAAGCCCTCAACATTCACTTTGGTCTTCCCCCGAAAGCCCCTGGCGAGGCCACACATAACTGTGGCAGTCATCCCAGCAGGGCTGCTGGAGAAGTGGCTGTACAGCGACACAGGGCTTCTGCAGATATTGAAGAGGGGAAAAAAGAAAGAGGTATGTGCTTTGGAGCATGCAGCTGCCAATGCTGCCTACAACCGCAGCTCACTGACAGCATGGAAGAGCCTGGAGGCTATCACAGTTTCTAGGGGACAGGTTAGGCACTGCAAGAACATCTCCAAGAGCAGTTATGGCACTTTTTTCTTTTTCCTTTTTTTTTTTTTTGGAGGACAACAACACTCTAAGCAAAGAGTCAAGGGCAATAGTTGCAATCCTGGCTGATTTACAGACAGAGACAGCAGATTCCTCCTGGGTATGGCACAGTAAAGCAGTTACACAGCTGGAAATAAAGCTCAAGTCCCATCAACTCGACCAAACTCCTCTGTTAATGCCACAGGCACCAAACACCGCATCCTGCTCTGAATCAGTTGCTGAAACCTCCCCTCTCCCACACACCTTTCCACCAGCTCTGAAGAAAACAAAGAGAGATTGTGCTAATATAGGTGGGTGAGACGTCTAAAGCTGAGCAGTGTGAACACCCCCAAGGGCATTGCTACATTCCAGTTAATTCTTCTAACCCACTGTTAAGGTCCCTCCCAGCTCCTTGGATTTATAGACATTTGCTCCAACAAATGGCCAAAATCCCTTATTTTAGGGATTTAGAAGAGTCTTCTACTACTCTGCACGCACCTGAGGCTGCCTTATCAAGAAGCACTGGCAACACAGGCTGAGCTAGCGCAGTGCTGTCAGATAATGAAGGCAACGTGTCGATGCACGCGCAGCCTGCAGCTCAGGACCTTCAGCATTTCAGAGCTGTTTGAGGGGGCCAGGAAAAGGTGTTTTGTATTCTGTCCTCTCACCCCAGCCCTGGTTTAACAAGCCCCCTTCAAGACACATTCTTAGAAGTCACTAGTAGAACAGGTTATCTGTCCTCCTGCACTCAAATATTAAGTTATAAAACTAAGGCTTCCATGATTTCAGCTTCTTTTGGGTCCTAGCTACATCACACCTGTAAACAAGACAGGAGGCCAAAAGCCTCAGTGTAGATGGGACATGTCCTTATTGCTGCGACCTAGTTAAACCCCAGGTTAGTCCAGTGTTTTGACAATTAAATTCACAGCTTGAGTCAGGGAACTGATGCACTGTAACTCTAGTGGCAGCGTAGAAAAAGGCAGCTGCTAAATACAGCAATGAGAAATGACTCCAGAAAGATGCAAAGCACACTGAAGTGATAGAGTCCTCATCCCCCAGCAATATCAAAAAGTGGAAAAAAAAAATCACAAAGGAACTATAATTAAAGTAGCTTATGCCAGGGAGCAGGGGAATGGCCTACATTGGAGCTACCAACCCATTCCACTAGTCACCCCAGAGACAGCAAAGATGTGAGCATCACACAATGGTCCTGCCACGGTATGAGAGCCCTGCTGCTTTCTGGAGGATCAGTACACCTGGACTCTCAAAAATTCATCTGAAACAGGAGCCACTGTGGCTGCTGGATACCCTGATGCTTGCTGAACCCCAGCCAAGGGGCCCACACCCACGAGTGTCTGTGGATCAGTCGGGTACATGTGCTGTGGAGGAGAGAATTTGCCCAGCTGGCAGCAGTGTCCAGGCGAGGCTCCGAGGGCACCTCTGGCTTGGCATGGGGGAGAAGGGAGGCTGTGTTCTGCAGCGTGGCTGTGCTGAGATCCCTCGTGTCCCACAGCATGGCTGTGCTGAGATCCCTCGTGTCCCACAGCACGGCCACATCCTGGTGCGTAGCTGTGCTGAAACCCGCAGCTCTGGGTGTTGGGGTGCTGCATCTGGAATGCAGGAGGAGCCGGAGGGGGCGAGCAGTAGTAGCTCTGGGTAGGGTAGGCCCCTGGAGTAGGGTTAATTCTGGGCAGGAAGAAAACAGAAGGTTACACTGTGTTTAGAACTGGCATTGCCCAATTAGCGCTGGAAGTGCCCTGGGGTTAGACTTCCTCCTGACCAGTGCTCAGAAAGGTCACTGCAATCCATCAGAGAGATTTACTACAACAAGAGAAGCTCTGATTATAAGCAATGCTTGAGTAAAAATAGTTTACTGGCCTGCCAGGGCAGATGTTCCCACTCCCAACCCACACCGATTCCACACCCACTGAACAAGCGTGGTTCTTGGCTCCGAGTCTCTTTCTTTGTGCAAGAAATACGCAAGCCAAACTGCAATGGGCTTTAAAATTTCCATACACATCCTCCCTGCCTTCCACTGAACAACACATCTGCTGAGTTATTAATCAGAAGTCACAGCTGCCAAGTGTTATTTATCAAGAAACCATGAAGGCTTTAGGTGCGAGTAAGAGCCCAGGGTATAGAGTAAAAAGGGAAGGAGGAGAGAATTATAAATAAAATTAATCATTCAGAAGCAAGGTCTAGAAACAGCCTTTGCCAACAGAAGGCATGACTCACCCTGCCAAAACCTATCGAGAGAGAGGCAATCTGCCTAGAAGCCAAAGCCTCTGGGACTTCAGGAGTACTGCTCAGCCCACACGCACCACTGAGTGCTGAGAATCAAGACAATATTCCTGAAGACCATGATCACCAGATTTCCCAGCAAGAATAAGAGACTGGTTCACACTGGGGTTTTCAGGTTTGGATATTTTCTTATTTGTGGGTTTGGTTTTGATTTTTGTTTGGGTTTTTTTTGTTTTATTTGTGGACACAAACATGATGCCAAAGCCTGGACCTCCTAGTCTCCTGTCTGGTAGCAAGTTGATGCCTGAAGTCACAGAATCACCTCAGGGATTGGAAGGGACCTCGAAAGATCATCCAGTCCAATCCCCCTGCCAGAGCAGGAAACTAAACGAGATTACACAGGAAGGTGTCCAGGCGGGTCTTGAATGTCTCCAGAGAAGGAGACTCCACACCCTCCCTGGGCAGCCTGTTCCAGTCTTATGAAAATTTAAAAAAAACCAAAAAAACCCCAACCATCAAGAGCTCTTATTTGGGAATAAGAATCAAAATAATAAAAATTAAGCCCCAGAAGCACATCTAGAGCTTGTGTTTAAGATGCAGACACATGCAAATTTAGCTGCAAAAATGGAAACATCCTAGAAACACCTTCCCACGCCCTGCTTGATAGTCAAATGTTTATGTAAATACCTTTGAGACAGAACAGTCTATTTATGTCAGCTCACCTAAAGAAAGCAGGTTTAGACACAGAGCCGAGACACTGTAAATGACAATTATCAGCAGAAGCATGAGGCTGATGCAGACACAGGCTCAGCGTGCAGCAAGACAGTCCCTCCTCCCAAAAGCAGCACTTGCCCAGAAGGAAAAGAGTAAAACCACAAATGCTGCTGGATCTGTCTGGCCTCCCCTGCAAGCACTCACACGTTCGAGTGCCCTAATGGGTCTGGGGAACACTCCTGCTGCAGGAAAGGGTTTCTTTTATGGTTTCCCCATGGGTGAGGGCAGATGCAAACACCTGGGAACAGCTTCCACTTCAAAGAAGGCTTTGCAGTGAGCTGATGGCTTAAACAATACATAGAACTTAACTCTTAATAGAAAACCATCCTTCCTCTGGGAAACTGAAATGACATTTTAGAGCAGGAAAAAAATTGACCTAGATTTCCAAGCTTTTTAGAATACAAGTGAGTTCTCATGGCTTGTAATATATATATACAAACTTAAAACCATTCCTGAATGCCAGCCACAGGCCCCAAGGTTTCTTTTTGGTAAAGCAATCTTGCCTCGACACTGAAAATGTGTGTTGAAAGGTTGACGTTGAACTTTGTAACTGACACCTTTAATTTATAAAGTTCTGCTCTTACATAGATCTGGACAAGACTCACTTCACAGCATTCCTGGGAAGCAAGGTGGGGCAAAGAAAGATAAAGATCACACCCCAGGGAGCAATACAGCCAGGAACAAATGCCAGAGGTGCTATTGTTAGGGCAGAACTGTGTGACTTAGCCTTCCTGTCAGCTGAGCTGCAACACCTTCACACATGTACACACCGCCCTGGCAGTAAATGACAGGTCTTGCACCTCAATTTAGCTTTCACTGAAAGATCTGGTTGAGTTAATGTGTGAAAAGGTATTAGTCACAGTAATGTCACCGGTGTAACATCAATGGGTCACTATGTTCCCCTTAACACCCAGGATATGAATAGGACAAGCACAGAACAGCTTTTAAAGGCTATTTAATGCTCTATATCATAAGATCTTCCACAGGAACTCCCGTACTTACTCGCTGCTTTTGAAGGCTCTTCTCTCTGCTAAGGACCCCGGGATATATTTCAGCCCTGGTATCCTCTTTAACAGACTGAAAGGGAACACTCGGTCCAGCTTAGAGCCCACGGACTCTGGAAAATCCAAGCAGAAACAGTAGCCAAGCCCATCTGAAGTCAGCAGCACATTAAGGAGGACTGCAGACAAAACACACTCATTTACCACAGCCACACGCAATCCCTCTCTGGCCACAAACCACTTTCCCTGAAGAACTCTCCCAGTTCTACCCAGCACCATCTTCACAGACCACCGCCCTTCACAGCTCCATGCTCTCTGCATGCACTAAAGCCACAGGGGAAGTGGAAGTGTGAGGTGAGAAACAAATGCAGAAGTGGGTGTGATGAAGAGCAGAAAAGCCAGCAAGAGTTTAATGCAGAGCAAGAACCCAGGAAGGAGCATAAAGCCACGGCACGTCCTCCCCCTTGTGAGCCAGTGATCCCACACTGCTTCAGGGCTTTGTAAAGGATACAGGCTTCCCCAGCAAGGAGCCCACAGAGGTTACTCAAGAGAGAAGAGTGGGGGATAAACCATGCTATGCAGAGTAAAAACCATGGCACCAGCACCACTGGAATCCTAAACCCAAAAACCAGTGTCCTCTTCATCCGTGAGCGGGTGGTGGATACACCCAACGTAGCAAAAGCTACCGGCATGAATCCTTCAGCATCCTCCACCTCTGACACCCTTGAGACAACGGTCCCGAGTAAGAGGTACAGGAGGGCGGAGAGGACGGCAAAAGCCACGGTGAGGAAGCAACACTTCACAGTGCCAACGTTCTTCTCAAAGCTGCTGGCAAAATACCAGATGAGAACAGCACCACAGATCAAGGATATCAGGTCTTCATAGACAAAGATGTAGGTAACTAACCTGTGAACTGAGCACAGCAGCACGTCAGAAAGGCAGAGGCAGCAATGAATTTGTTTTACACCACTGAAATGACACGCTTGAGCAGAGGGAGGGTGAGCCTACAGGATTAATTAATAGCTTTAGTTTTTATCCTGGTGTAGAAGAATGAACTTGAGGGCTTTAAAACCACCATAAACAACAAAATAGAGTCCAGACATATGGACTGACTCCTGCTGCTTCCAGGGAAGCTGCCTGGAAAAGAGCAACAGTATCAGTAGTAAATTTCAGTCTCATTAAAAGAGAAGGCAAGAGACAAAAATGACTGTTGAGGTAACTATGATTTTGCTTAAAAGACAAATGTTTTTAAACTGACAGAAGGCTGATTTATCTCACAAAAAAATGCCTGGAGGTTATTGGACCTCAGAAATGCTCCCAGGCCTGCTGGTTAGCCATTCTCCTGGGTTCTCTGTGAGGAATGAGGCAGGGAGTTCCTCACCTCCCTCCCATCAATCTCAGTCCCACAGCCAGAAAAATACCAGTTGCAAGTATAAACCAGTGTGACCTGACTGCCCCCCTGCAGACAGGCCAGGAAAGGGAAGAATTCACCCATCAGCTCAGAGCACTGGACTGGTAAATCACTGCGTGGGGGCGAGAAAAAAACATGGGGGATTCAAAGTGTGATAAAAATCGTTCTGGGAACATCACAAGGATGGAGGACAGTGAATCCCTCAAGCTCCGAGCAGCGCTCCCCCGCTCTGCCTAATGCCAAGGGACAGAGATGGAGGCTGAGAGAGGAGCAGCCGGGTACAGGGGGGCTGAGATGGATGCCCCGCGGGCCCGGGGCAGGTCAGGGAAGCACCTGGAGAGGGGAGAGGAAGGGGCGCGGTGGGGCGACGGGGAAGGCCCAGAGAGGCGGGTGACGGAGGGAGCAGCAGGTTGGTCAGGGACTTGAGGAAATGCCCAGAAACGGGGGCTGAGGACGGGGGACCGAGGGGTTCAGGGCAGGACACGGGGAAGGTCCGGAGAGGAGGGAAGCAGG